GATACACGCATACACATAAAATAAAAATAATAAAATAAAAATTTAAAAAATTCCTCATCTTTGTACTGCCACTTCCATTGACAAAACATTTTCATTCTGCAACAGGAATACCATTTCGTTAATAAGAACGATTCAAGCAGGCATGGTACATGGCAATCTCAGCACTTGGGGGGCTGAGGCAGGAGGATTGTGGTAAGTTCAAGGCCCAGCCTGTCTTAACAAAAAAGAAAAAGAGGAAGAAATACCAGGTTCAGAGATGTCAAGTCATATACCCAAAGTCACCCAGCCAGTGAGTGGCAGAGCTGAGACAGGACCCCAAGGCTTCTGGTTTAGTAAAAATCAAAATAGTCTCCCTTATTTTCCTGCTATCCCATGCTGCTTATCCTACCTTTTCACCCTGGGCCCCACCAGAGCCACCTGGGTCCACCCTGGGGAGTCAGGGTACAAAGGCCAGACAGGCCTCCCACCAGCATTCCAGCTGCCACTAGGAACACAGCTGTCAGCAGGGCAGAGAGAGCCAAAAGCTGCCTCCCAAGCAGGCCCACATAACGGTACATTGTCAGCTCAAAACAGAGCTGCTGTGGGATCCTGGGCCATCCTGAGCCTAGGTTTCTTCATCAGGATCGTTGTCATGGATTGGACTAGATGACTTCCCAGGACCCTTTCAATTTGGAGCATTGCCTAGGGAGTGAACAAGGAAAAACACAGTGTAGGCAGGCAGCTGTACACAGGTCCCCAGCCAACTGTGGGATGCCTAGGGTGTCTGAGATCTGAGAACCTGACCCCTGTATCAGTTGTAGGCTAAGGTGGTATCTGCATCTCTGAAACCTCATACAAAGGAGGGGCTCAGATCATGTTTGTGGGAGGGATGGATGGATAGATGGCAAGAGGGTGTGAAAGAGAGAGGGCAGAAAGGCCTCTGTAGGGTGCTAATGCTCACTGTCCTGATGCTCACTCTGCCCAGCCCAGTCTGTGGGGACTACAAATGTGGGACAGTTACAGGAGGGTGGAGCCTATGTGGGATCATCCTGGGGAGTGTGGAAAAAGAACCCAGCTGGACTATGGTGGCAAAGAAAGGCCTGAATTTCCCAGACATGGTAGCAGATAACTGCAATCCCAGCACTTGGGAGCTGGAGGCAGGAGGATCAGTTCAAGGTCATCTTCAGCTGCATAGCTAGTTCAAGACCACCAGCCTGGGCCACATAACACCCTGTCTCAAAAA